ATTTCTGAAGAAGGGTCTAGGCCCGAAACGTCAGCTTTCCTGCTCCTCTGATGCTGCTTGGCCTGCTGTGTTCATCCAGCTCTACACCTTGTTGCCTCTAATATATACGGGTTTAAGACACTATTCCAGAAGCACTGTCTGACCCTGTTTTAACTCTCCATAAAAGTAACATATGCCAACAGTTCAATATCGAAACTCTAAAAATGATAAGTCTAAATCATTTATTGTCTATTACAGGATTCCCCCCTCCCCCACTCCAATCCAGGGCCAAGCTGTGGTCTCTTTGAGTGAGATGTTGACTTTTTGCTGAATCAGAATGGTATTAAGCTTTGTGTGCAGATCTAGTAGGAACTGAAACGAGTTCATTCCCAGCACAGTCTTTATGAAACTTTTCTAACCAACAATATTTATTGAAAGATCATGCCCTATCTCTGAGCTAGGAGACATGGGTTTGAGTCCCACCTGCTCCAGAGGTGTGTTATAACATTGCTGAACAGGTTGATTTAAAAACAAAATCTAATTCAATTTGACACCCAGTCCCACAGACATAATTTTGAGAGAAATTTCAAGTGCAGAAAGAGACCACTTGGTCCATTGTGCCTCAAAAATGTTACCTCCTCAATCCCATTTCTGTCCATGCTGTTGTTACAGCTTCTATAATAAAGGAGGCATAATAACCCAGTCCTCTGTTGGTCCTGCGCAGTCAGAATTTTCAATATGTTCACGTTTTGTTGGAAACACATAAATTGAAACAATCTGGTGTTCCTTATTTCAACAGTTTGTGCTGAAAAGCCTGAGAAAGAATCCGCACGGCAGAGCAAAATTAGAAAGCAGCAAAAATGTACAACGGAGCTACCAGTAAGACAGCGAGGAGTGTGCTCCGGAGTTCCAGTATAAGCGGAGAGATGTATGACATGGAGAAGAGCAACACTAGCCAGCAGGAAGCTGTGGCGGACAATGCCATTAAGAAGAGACGGTCCAGTCTCGGTGCCAAAATGGTGGCTATCGTTGGACTGTCGCAATGGAGCAAAAGTACAACACAACTAAACCAGACCGGTAAGCTGAGTACTAAACTTGGTTGGTTTACTCAGGTGGTTGGGGAATGATGTATGGTCTAGTTAAAGATTAACACACTGTGAGTTACTGTAAAGTCTAAGTACAAAATATCTGTATAAACCACCTACCACACTGATAACCGAAATGACAGTGGTTTGTACTGGGAGCAGGTTAGATTAACAGCGCACACTAGTTCCTCTGACACTGCCTGGTGCAGGCTGCGTGCTGCACTGTCCATTCCCAGCCTGGGATATGTTTCCTAGGCTCAGCTGAGATGGCAATAGGAGTAAGCCAGCTGGATCTGGCATCCCATAGTGGAAAAGAGAAAACCATTCCCAACTTTTAATCCAGCGGCATTATCTGCTGACATATGCAAACATCAGATGAGGACAGTATCAGGTTCTGTTCTGATACCTGCTAGAAGTTACTTTAGTGATGAATATTTATAGATAACGATGGGTTTCTAAATGTGAGGGTTCCTAATCTTGTGCAGGAAAAGTGAATTAGGAGGGAAAAGACATGATGCCATTGTTGGGATGATTTTTAATAACTGCTGACAGCAAAGTCCTCTTTCTGCAACTGCAGATTAAAAGCATTGAGTGTAGTTTATGAACGTAACAAACTGAACATGGTCTCTTCAAAAGAAGACTCCATTTCCCACCCTCTCCATTTCCATCTCCTTTTCTTACCTGAAGGTGTCAGCTGTAGTTCAACAGGAGCATTCTTACCCCTGACTTATAGATTCAAACTCCACTTCCAGAGAGATGAGAATGTAATTCAAGCCAAAATTCCCAGCATCAAGGGAGCGTGGCACTAGCACAGGTGCAGTCTTGTAGATGTGACATTAAACTGATGCCCCAGCTGATCTTTGAGTAGAATATCAAAAGCTGCTGTGACCCAATTTCAGGAAGATCAGAGGAATGTTCCCCAATGTCCTGTCCAATAATTTTTACTCAACTGAAATAACTAAAAGGAGATTATCTGGTCATGGCGTGTTGCTGTTTATGGGAGCTCGCTGTGCAAACATTACTTGCTGCATTTCCAATATTATAACAGGATAACATTATTACTTTTCAAAACTGCTTCAGTTGTTGGAAAGCACTTTGGAACACTCTGAGTGTCAGAAGAACACAAGACAATAAGAAATAATTATTTGATCTAATCTGATCTGATCTTGGCCTCAACTCCATTTTCCTATATCCCCCATTACCCCTTACAATGTGTTGACCACAAACTTGTCTAACGTGACCTTGAATATATTCAATGTTTCATTTTAAATTGCTGTCCAGGGTAGAGAATTCCAAAGATTCACAACCTTAAGAAATTCCTCCTCATCTCTGTCTTATAGGGGGCCCCATTATTTCATAACAGTGCGCCCCTGTTTCCAGATTCCTCCACAAGGGGAACCATCCTCTCAGCACCTAACCTGATGAGTCCCTTCAGGATCTTATATATTTAAATAAGATCAATCACAATTTTCTCAATTCTAATGAGGGTAAGCCTAACTTAATCAATCTTTCCTCCTAAGACAAACTCTTTGCCTAGATTTTCATCCCAGGGTAACAGGAGTTTGGAAATATCCATCTTGGTCCAGCCCCTTGGTCCACTGCAAAGGTGGGGATTTCATTCACCATCCACCTGGCTCACTGGTGTTCTTCAGAGAAGGAAATCTACCGTCCTTATCTGGCCAGGCCTACATGTGACTCCAGCTACAACAATCAAACTAAAATGAACATGACTTAAACATTAATTCATAACCAAATGATATTTCAGAAAAGAAAACAAAAACAGAAATTGCTCATGAAACTTAGCAGGTCTGGCAGTATCTGTGGGAAGAAAGCTGAGTTAACGTTTTGAGTCCAGTGACTCCACATCAGAACACCTTTTAGAAAATTTTGCTTTATACCAATGCTGCAAGCATGACTTGTATGTGGGTTGCATCAAGAACAGTACCAAAGTTTTCTCCACTCTCCAACAGAGTTTCACCACTTCTTGAGCTGACTCCTACAAAGAGCTTCATCAACTATTCCACCTGGAGTTAGTTTTGTAGATATAATTATCACTAGCAAGGCCCACTTTGAACTCCCGCACTCTGGTCACCTCAGTCCTGAAAACACAGGTCTCCAAAGACTTCTTTATCTGACCCCCTTGACTAGTCATCATATGGGGAGGTGATAGCCTCGTGGTATTATCGCTGGACTGTTAATCCAGACAGGCAGAAAATGTTCTGGGTTCAAATCCTGCCATGGCAGATGGTGGAATTTGAATTCAATAAATATTTGGATTTAAGAGTTTAATGATGACCATGAATCTATTGTTGTAAAAAAAACCGTCAGGTTCACTAATGCCCTTTAGGGAAGGAAACTACCATCCTTACCTGGTCTGGCCTGCATGTGACTCCAGACCCACAGCAATTTGGTTGACTCTTAACTGCTCTCTGGGCAATTAGGGATGGGCAATAAATGCTGCCTAGCCAGCAATGCCCCTTATCCTGTGAATGAATTTTAAAACAACAGTCTATTCAGCTTACATAAAACTGTCTTTTCCACAGAAAGATTTGCTTCCTCTCCCTGTACCATTTTTGTACCTGATACAAAACGTTTCTTGTGAAAGTTTTACTCCTTCTGTCCCAAGAAAGACTGGCACAGTGGCTCAGTGGTTAGTGCTGCTACCTCACAGCACTAGGGACCCAGGTTCAATTCTACCCTTGGGCAACTGTCTGTGTGGAGTTTGCAAATTCTCCCTGTGTCTGCATGGGTTTCCTCTAGGTGCTAGGGAGATGGGTCTGGATGGGAAGCTCTTTGGGGAGTCAGTTTAGACTCGATGGGTAGAATGGCCTGCTTTCACACTGTAGGGATTCTATAAAGAATTTCTGTGAGAGGTCTTTGCTTTCTGCCCAACTATGACTGTAGCTTGATTGCTCAATTAGTTTTACAGTCATAGCAATACTTCCTACTTTAAGACTCCGTCCTCCTTGAGGTAAAGACCAACATTCTATTTGTTCTGCTATTAACTTTCTATACCTGCAGATCCCCTTGTGCTGCATCATTCTGCAGTCTCTCCTGTTTAAGTAACACTCCATTATTTTGATTTTGCCACCAAAAAGGACAAAGTTACAGTTTTCATTTCACAGTTGACCTGTCAAATTTCTGCCCACTCACCTATCCCTTTGCTGACTCCTTGGCACGGATTTTTTTGTTGCTGAAGCAGGGAGCCTGAATTGGAAAATTTTCGACTCAAAGCTCACAACTCAGGGGAAACTCCCTTGAATGGCACAAACCTCAAGTAAAATATTGCTTCACCTGGAAGTTGTGTTTGTGGTCTTGAACAGTGGGGAGAAGCAAGTTGAATGGGAAAGTTGTCTGGAGTTGCATGGGGAGTTGCCGTGGTTGGTGGGGGGCTGGAAATGTAACATCAGTGATGAGGCGAGACTGAAGAAGTTGGGACTGTTCTCCTTGGAGAGAAGAAGGCAGAGAGGAGATATAATAGAACTTTTTCAAAACCATGAATGGGCTGGATAGAGTAGATAGAGAAAGGCCGTTCCCACTCGTAAAAGAACAAAAGAATGAGAGGACATAGATTTAAAGTGATATGTAATTCATTCTCACCTCAGCCCTTGCCCTTTAGATCACTGGATATTGGACAGATAGTTACCTGCTTGTCCTCTTCTTGTCATTGATATTGCTTTATCATCTTGACATGACCCAGCCTTTGCTATTTTCCCAAATCTGGGGTCTCAGATAGAAAACCACTTATCCAAGTTGCTTGGCTACTCAGTATGGACCAGTGAATGAGGCTTTTAAGTGTTCACCTGAACATTGACATGTAGCCTCCTGGCTGAAATGTTTGGACTGTGAAATATTTGTCTGCCTATTTATCATTGCTGTCTGGGGGATTGACACGTGTGCTTGGGCCAGTTCACAGACAGGAAGAGTCCCTTTCAGAACTCTGCTAACCTGGTCTAACCTGGATCCTTGGAGATAGTAAGAACTGCTGATGCTGGAGTCTTTCCTCCTTTTGCTCTAAAAAGCTCTCCTTTAGTAGTTTCACATGTCCTGACAAATGGTGCTAACAAACTAATTCGAATGGAGTGGGCCCAGTGGACTCATTGGTTACATTCCTGGTGGCATACAGGATGAATACCTAGTTCTTTGTCTCAGTTTGTGGGGCTGCTCGTGGTAGTATGCTCAGATCATTGTTTAAAGGCTCTGGCAATACCATTCTATCTGTCACAGCAGGTGGTACATGAAGACGTCCACTGGGCCATGCTCAGGTCACCCATGATCTTGCAGAATATTTTGGATGTGAAATGTGAGCCCTGGTCCAGCTGGATCTCGATTGGCAGATTTGATTTTAAATATTGTGTGGAACGCGCTGGTATTAATTGTACATGTTTCTATATGTAACAACACAAACTCAAGTAAATCTTTTGCAGCTTTTTCTTTTAAAATTGGATTTTGGAATGTCTGGTACTAACTGGTACACACTTAACATGGGCTTGTTTTTAACTGCATTTTCACCAGTGGTACCTTTCTGGGATAAGAGAGACTTTCCCTGAAAGTTTTCTCTGTGGTAATAAGGACCAATCAGGATCAGCCACTTTAACAGCCGTGCTACCCAATCAAAAGAGATAAAGAAAGTTTCTACCTCTGCTTCCTCAAACTTAGGAATTAAATGAGCAATCAAATTACCTTCACTCTCACACCTGAGTTAATGGCCCCTTTTGGGAAGTAGAACTGAATCACAGAACCCCTACAGTGTGGAAGCAGACCATTTGACCCATCAAGTTCATACCAACCTTCCGAAGAGCATCCCACCCAGACCCACTCTCCTACCCTATCTCTGTGACCCTGCATGGCCAATCCATGCATCCCTGGACACTATGGGCAATTTAGCATGGCCAATCCACCTACCCTGCACATCTTTGGACTGGGAGAGGAAGCCAGAGCATCCGAAGGAAACCCACGCAGGCATGGTAAGAACTCCACACAGTCACCCAA